AACAAAAAAGTTTGTATTGGCAATTTATATGAAGTAGATAATACTAACTGTGAACATTATTTGAATGAGTATCATGGCTTTAGAGTAATCACAATTTGGGAACTATATCCAATTCTGAATCGATGTTCAACAATTTTGACGGGGGCTTTTGTGCATCTAGTACCACATTGCTTTATGACTTTAAGATTTATATTAAAAAATATTTATTAGATCAATAGATATACCGGACCGAGTTTCACCAAAGGGAAAAATTAGGTTGAGTATGAACAAATCTATTCATATCGAAGCTATATAAAAATCTGAACTGATTGGCAGAGGTATTTCGAGCAGCATTTGATGGCCGTCATCAAATATCATTGTTGTCGAGTGCATATTACGGAGATATAGCTATATGCGAAGCGATTTAAAAAAATAAGTTCTTGTTTCTAGGATGAATTCTGTCGGAATTGCCAAGATTTAGTTCATTTGGGCTGATATTAGTCATTTGGTGCACAAAAAAAAAACCTGATATCGGATAGAGATATATATGAGAGCTATATCCAAATCTGAAACTATCTTCACAACATTTTAGGTACTTATTACAGAGCTGTATTTGATATCTGGTACCAAAAATCATTGTTGTGGAATGCATATACGCATGTGAGGGACTCAAAACTCCAAATCGGATGAAACATATATATGGGAGCTATAGCTATATCTGAACAGATTTTCACAAAATTTGAAGTACTTGTTTCTAGGATAAATTAATTCGGAATTGCCAAAAATCGGTAAAAATATTTGGTATCTACAACAAAACATAGTCCTATACGGATGTTGCTCACATACTGCAAACACAAACTGCCAATTTACGGACTTTTGGGTTCAAAACTATGATTTTAACGCTCAAAACAACTTAAAACTAGCGATATTTGACCCATTTTCAATACCAGATGGTCGATATTCACATAAGATCTCGACTTAAGACAAACATTGAGATATACTAAGTTTAAAGAGAATAACGAAAATGTTAACTTTTTTGGGAGAGGTACCAGAAGGAGTGGTGCGATTTTTCACACAATCTTATGTTGACAGAAATTTTGAAATAGTCCGATACATTCCATCTTCACACCAGAGCTTGTGTTGGTAGAAATATTGAGATGTGAAATATTATTTGAGAACAACCGGGCTCATATTTTATAAGATCTATGATTATTCAAAATTTTTTACGCTTTGTGGGGGAGGTACTTGATGGAGTGGACTGATATTGTCTATTTTCGTAAATATTGGGATTTAAAAAATTTGCTCAGAATAGGAAGATCCGTTCTTGTCCTATAAGGTAAATTATTTTCTGTGAAAAATTTGATCTTTTGTGGGGGAGGTACCATAAGGAGTGGACCGATGTTGCCCATCTCTGAGCCCGATCTAAGTTTGATATTAATATTACGATGTACCATGTTTGGAGCAATTCGGATACTCCTTTCAAGAGTTATCGTGCGAATCAGCCATACGGACACACTGACACCTCTGATGGACTTGAAATATCCTGAAATGGATTTGATTATTTCGATAAGACACGATTTGCTGAGGCTTAGGTTATAAAAATGCAGTGGAATTCGAAAAATTATATCCTCCTCTTTTCTCGCAAATACTAAATACATTGAAGTCAATTATCACAGTGTTGAACACCAGACCACTAAGTATCTCTGCATACTTTCTTTTCAATATATTGTACACTGCTGATCAATTTCATGCATGTTTATCAAATTTTCTGTTTTTTCCTTAGGATATTCTTTACCATTTATGTTGGAAATAATCTTTTAAATCAGCAAAAGAAACGGTAGTTTAGAATATTATGAATTGCAGAGAAAGCATAAAGAATTGGTTAATTCTGTATTTAAAAAACACAATCGAAGCATTCAAAAATTAATGACCATAATAAAATTGTGTTAAATTATCTATCATATTATTTTTGGCATGGTATAGAAGAGAAAATGCATCGAAAAGAAATTCATTGAAAACATTGACTTAAAACCGTCAAATAAAACATTACTCCATTTTTTTTAATTTTAATTAGAACTAATTCCCTGAATCGGCATAAATCGCTTGTGTAATATTTGGATCAGCATATCATGTTTCGTCTATTTTGTAGTTGGCTCTGAAATGTAAATCTATCGAATTTTTTTCATTATGAAATTTGGTTTGTGAGTTGAAGGTCATCTGACCCAGTTTATTTTTGTTGTTTTTTTTTTTTTGCTTTTGCAGACTGACTGCAACACTGAACAACAAACAAAACAAGCCATTTGGTTTGATTCCAACTTTGTTAACGGTAACAAGGCACTCTTGTCTCTGGGAACATTTAAATGCTTTATATTTTTCGTTGAGCATTTATTTTGTAGCTGCTGGTTGTGGGTTACTGTTATACATTTCGTCTGTCTGCTGATCGTATCGAAGGAAAAAATAAACAAAAAGAAATACCCGCTAAATTTCCCACGATTTTCTCATAAATGCAAATATACAAAACAAACCATGAAAAGGAGAAGGAAAATTTGTCTGTTGTGATGCTGTTCATTGATGTTAAAAAAAGCATAATTTTTATTTTGAAAATTGGATTTGTTGACCTGGGACCTGGGGACTAAAGTGAATTAATTTTGGATTACTTAATATTTCATATATATAATTTTTTAGGTATTATATAATAATGCAGTGATCAGAGTATTTCTTGGGCAATAAATAGATATTGCAATCAATGTGTTTAGAGAAAAGAAAAACTATTTGAGTTTTTATAGCATATTCTTAAAGAAGCAATGATGAGAAATTTCAAAATTCATATAACGACTACGGACTGTCACCATCTTGCCAATATTCAATGGAGAATAATCATGTTGGTACCGGCAAAAAAAGTAAAAGGATCCCAAAAAATAACTACATATTTCGTGTGTCTGGTCTTGATTAAAATAATGTGTTGTTAACCTGATTAGTAATGCGTATTTTTATTGTACTTTTAAGTCCATAAGTCTACATTTTCAGCGGGTTGAAAATTGTTAGGTTTCCACTTTGTTTACTAAAATATTTTATTTATGGTTTTGCAATTCAATATATTTTATTGATCTTCAAAATTGACGACTTACTCACACAAAACTTTGCAAAAGACAAAATAAAAAGGTTTTCATTTAGACACCATTTGGAACGAATTTGGAAAATTTTAAAAAATAAAATCCTTAAAAAATTCTGTTAAAATTTTGAAAAATACTAATGATAGCCGTTATATTGGGGTCTGTACGGCGTAGACCTACATAGGCATTGTTTGTCATAAGCCATTACCACATTCAAATTCGAAACTTGAAATAAACTGTGAATAATGTAGCTAAAATCATCAAAATATCGTATATAGGGAGGTATCGTTATATCGGAGCTGTGCGAAGACCTGAACCATCATAGACAATTTTCTGTCACGGGCTATAGATTCCATTACGAACGTCAAATACGACATCTCAAACAATTTCGGTGGATATTGTACCTAAACTCGTCAAAATGCCGAATATCGGGAGGTACTGATATATGGGGCCCATACCATACCGAATATCGGGAAGTACCGTTATATGGGGGCTATATGAAAACGTGGACCTACAAAATAAAAAAATATTGTGATGTGTGTAATTTGAATCTAACATCACATTTTATAAGAGTTATAATTATTCAAACTGTTGACTCTTTGTTGTGGAGGTACTTGATTTTCGCACCTGACCTAGCACTGATGCAAATATTAGGATTTGCAAAGTTGGAGCAAAATCGGATTATCCCTTCTCTTTCTGTGCAGTAAAATATTATCTTGAAATTTCGACCTTTTGTGGGGTAGGTACCAGAAGGAGTGGACCGATCATGCATATTTCCGAACTTGATTAAAGTTTGATAATATTATTACGATGTACCAAGTTTGGATCAAATCGGATACTGTCTTCGAGAGTTATCGTATGCACCAGCTAGACCGACTGACGGACGGACATCGCTAAATCGATTGCAAATGTCCTGAAATGGAATTGGTCTAAAGGGACCTAGGGTCTAAAACCGTTATTTCGATGAGGCACATTTTGGCCGTTTCAAATTATATATACCCTCTTTAGCCATATGGCTGAGGTATACCGCCTGAATGTAACATAGGCTACATAAATTTTTAAAATTCCTAGGATTGGAGATATATCATTCGGAGGTACATCCAAAAATTTTAGATGTTGTACGCACATATCTTTTGATCGGTTATAGATACTGTCAAAAAATTTGGAATGTGTAACGGAATTTGGTACAAAAAAAAATTACCAAATATATTGAAATTATTTTAAATTTAGATATAGCTCCCATATATTTTTTCGTCCGATTTTATGTATTTGACAAACACGGTATGTATCTCCAATTTCAATGAAATTTGGAGTCTGTGATGGCATTTCATAAATAAAATTAATTTGCCAAATTATATTGAAATCGATTCAGAGTTAGATGTAGCTCCTCCAAACGAGCTGTGTATGTCCGTTTCATATACAATTTGGAATGAGTAACGGAATTTGTTACAAAAATAAATTCGCCAAATCATATTAAAATCGGTTCAGATTAGAATATAGCTCCCATATATGTTTTCGGTCGATTTCATGTATTTGATGCACCAAACACACTATGTGACATACCATTTCAATGAAGTTTGGAATGTATGACGGAATTTGGTTTAAAATTCTAGCAGTAAAAAAGAACACAACAATCTAATTGAGACACCGATTGTTACGGGGAAGTATGTAGGTTCATATGCATTGCCCTGTACAACAAACTATGTGTAGGTTCAGCTAGTTCAATATAAGGCGAATGATTATGACTTTCCTTGGAAAATATTTTTGGGATTAACCATGTTAGTCCCACAGTGGCAAATAAACGTTTACTGGCGTTTTCCATTAAATTGGTAACCCAATTTCTATTTTGATATTTTCGGTGGCATATTTTATTAATTTTTTGCAAATGCCAAACATTGCGCTACTTACCTTTCGGCATTCCGCATGGTCCTTTGGTACGTGAATTATCCAAGAAATCTAAATCGTATTTTCGTGCAGGTGGATAAGTTAGCGCCACATGTGCGGAGGTAATGTGCATTAGACAGCAGAGGTACACGCTGCAAATGGCCAAAATGGTTAGCCAACTTGGTAGTGGTGATTTTCGTTGTTTACGCTGCCGCGGGTTGTGTTGAAGCCGTTGTAAATGGTGTGGCCACAACTGTGGCTGCTGATCGTTATTTACGGCCATGTTATTTGTTTAATATTGCCCAATCTGGGTCGTCGTTTCTATGTCAATTTATCGGATTTCTATGTCAATTTATTTGATTTAAGAAAATATTTTCTTTCTTTTTGTTTTGTTTTGCTCTTATTATTATTTTCTCAAAATTGATTTGTGCAATTTTACAATTTATTTTTTCCGTTGTAACACTTAAATACAATATTTAAATGATTGCTTTATTTTGCTGGCTTTTTGTTTTGCTATAATTTTGAAAAATTTTTATAATGATTCAATCACATGTCTGAAATATGATTTTTTTATTTTAATTAAAAATAATTTACACTCGTAGCATTTTTTGTTAAAAAATTAGGTTAGCAGGTTTTTGCAATGTGGACACTTTGGTATTTGACCTGAAATGGAGAGAAATGTTAAACAAAATTTAGTGGAATGAAAAAAAAAGTGTTTAAAGGGAGATATTGAAGACTGTTAAATAGTCTTTCTGTATCTTTTTTTTTTTTTGATATTTAACGTTAAATTGAAAGATTTCTACAGAAAATCGTTATCCCATTTGACCAATAAAATTTTGAATACAATAATTTTGTGCAAAATATTTATGTTAAATAAATAATAAGTGCTTTAAGTTCGACCGGGCCGAACTTTCTATACCCACCACCACTATGCTTATCAAAGTAAAATTAAATAATGAAAAGGGTAGAATATGTACAATTAAAATATCAATCCGTTTTAATTAAAATAAAAAAATAACCCAAAGAGTTGGCAATTTGGTAAAAACCTTAAAACTACCAAAAATCTGGAGGCATTGTTACATTGGGTCTATACCTATTAGTGGACCTTAATCGAACATTTTTTTGCAAGGACAAAGCTGACTCACCGAGAATCCCAATTGTCTAGGTACAGCTAATTTGGTTGAAAATTGTGGCAGAAACATTCAAAATACAATAAACATTCAAAAATACAAAATTCCAGTGACAGCTCATTATATTGTTTACAAGTGTACAAAAGCATTTTGGTGAGAGTTTTGCAGAAAAAAAGTTATTTGTGACGGAATTCAAGGGATTTCTTTATATTTGGCTGGAAAACCACAAGTGGCTATCGTTAGAGCACTCCAGCATTTAAATGTGAATAAATCTTTTGTGTCTCGTACATCCGCTCGTTACCGTGATACTGGTAGCGTAACCCGACGACAAGGAAGTGGGCAGAAAAAAACAGCAACATCAGCAGAAATGGTTCGAAAAATAAAGAAGCGACTTGATCGAAATCAGCGTCGCAGTGGCCGAAAAATGGCTCGTGAGCTGAACATATTGCAATATTCCATTCGCCAAATATTGAAAAATGAGCTAGAGGTAAAGCAATTGAAATTCCAAAAAGTGCAAGAACTTACATCGCAACAAAAAGAAAAATAGACTCAAAGGAGCTAAAGAGTTGCTTCGCATGGCCGAAAGTGGTGAACTGACGAATTTCTCCAACGAGAAAACATTCGTTGTCCAGCAGTCTGTAAACAAACAAAATGATCGTTTTTACTTGCCAAAGAGGTCAGCTGAAAATGTGCACCTTCGGTTGGCCGGCAGAACTTAGAAGCCGGCCATGGTGATGGTGTGGGCCGCCATAACATCCGATGGTCGCTCTCCGCTCGTATTAATCGACCGTGGCATCAGAATATATGCCGAATATTATCGCGAAAATGTTCTGGAGGGTGTATCATAGCCTTGGGCACGCAAAACAGCACCATCGCACTCAGCACGCGCCACCCAAGAATGGTTACAAAATGAGGTTCCCCGCTTCAATCCGTTGGACTATTGTATCTGGAGTATTTTGCAAAGCAAGGTTGGCACTAAAAATACCATCGATCATCTCAAGCAAGCGCTTCGCCGTAAATGGGCCAAAATACCGCAGAGCAACATTCGGGCAGCGTGCGATGGTTTCATTGGCCGTTTGAAGGCCATAATTCGTACCAAAGGTGACCAATTCGTACAAATTTAAACTTGTTCTAAAATTTTATGCTATTTCCGACATTTTTTGCTTTCATTCAATAAAATTTCAAAAAATGTAAACATTATGGTGTTTGACTTTGTTGCAGATTTTTTTTATGGAAGCTATATCTAAGTTTTGAATGATTACCTCCAATTTCAATAGGATTCGTCCTTGCACCAAACCTATGATTTGTGGAAAATCTAGTTCTGACAATATATGCGACCTGTACTTTGTTTACAAAAATACATGGACAGACGGACGGATGGACTCAGAATGTGATTCTATGCAGATCATCAAGAGGAACTACGGGGCTATCTCGCATCCTTCTCTATGTTACAAACAAATGCACAAAGACATAATAGCTGCGCTTCAAATAGTCCATCCTCTTAGCCCAATGTTGGCAACATCTCGGCGGTATCTTGCGAAAAAATGCTTTAACGGTCCCCGAACTCGCCTCTCAATGAGTCCATTGTAACGCGTGGTGTAAGGCATCTGGCATCATCTAGTTGAAACCACATGTCGTACAAGGCATGCTCGCATGGTAGCGGCAACGCTCACCATTCAAAGTCACGTTACAATTTGTAGCATCTCTGAAGAAGTACGGTCCAATGACGCCACCAACCCAGAAACCGCACCAAATTGAGATTTTTTCTAGATGCATTAGTAGCTTTTGCTATTTTTCCCAAAAAACAATAGCTAATTTTTGTTTAAAGTTTTTTTTTTCAAAATTTGAGTGGTACAAGTCAATATTTATTTGTCCGATCTTTTCTCCAATTCAGTGACTTAAAGGAAATCGGAGTAGACTCCAAGTCCACTTTCAGTTATCTATGTAAATAATTAATTGTAAAAACGAATATATTATTTGTGGAAAAGACCACAAAAACAAACGACAACAGCTCTCAATTCCAACTGATTTACAAAGGGTCAAGTGGTTGCTGGATATTTTTTTTTTTTTGAAATTTAAAAACTATGCATATTGTACGTATGTACATATCTGTCTATCTTCGTTGGTAGACATGTCACAGTCATCATGCTTCGGCAAAATGCATTGGTCTTAGGCGACGACAACAATGACAGACACTTGAGCTTTAACAAATTTGTTTGAAAAGAAACAAAAAAAAAGCAAAACAAAACACACGAATGTCCGCAACATCGCAACATCCATTGTCATAATTCATTATTCAATAAAAATTCATAAAAGATAATATCCAAATGGCTGAGAGAAAGAAACGGAACGGGTTTATTGACCAGCTATGTGTGTTTGTATTTTGGTTTGTCTATTTGTCTTCCTGTGAATAGTGCCGTAATACAATGTGAATCTCTTGAAACCCCACAAATAATGTTTTTTTTCGATTTTAGTTTTTGTTGCTGAGAGATCTCTTTTAATCTTCGTGTGAAGACATAGCTTTTTCAAATTTCAGTTATTCCCTTCCAAAATTTGTCAACGTCATTTATCATTGCTGTGTGTCTTCATCATCGTCAACATCATAGATGACGTTAGCAATAATTTATGTAATTATGTTAACAAAATAATTTCAAACATAAATATTGAAAGAATTTCGCTCCACCCATTAAGTTATTCCAATAACATAACTTGTGGAGGGAAAACCACATTAAGAAGAAGAAACGCGCCAAATACACTAGCTCACAGGTGGCGTGGAAATGTGTGCTTTTCTGGCAATGTACCCATACTGTCCTTATATTTTCCAACATTTCTCCTATCTCCTTCGGACCATTTCACAACTTTTATAGGCTTCAACTCACCTCCAGGGAGTATGTCTTTGTGTATATGTTTGTAGCATTCAAAAGGTAACGTTCTAGACCGATACTGTCCTTTTATTTTCCAACATTTCTCCTATCTCTTTCGGACCATTACACAACTTTTATATCCTTCACCTCACCTCCAGGGATTAGGTCTTTGTGCATTTGTTTGTAGCATTCAAAAGGTAACGTTCTAGACCAATTAGTCCTTTTGATGCCTCGCTATAGAATTTCATTCTGAGTCAATTTATACATTCCTGTTCGCCCATCCGTCAGTCTGTCTCTTTATATTCGAAAGCGAAATTGAGGTGCATTTATTGTCCGTTGGAACCAAACCTTTGCCCAGTTCATTGTTGGTCCAAGGAACCCAATTGAAATTCGCTGGTTTTTCAAAATAGATTTTGGCACATACCAACGGATTCAGCCCAGCAACAAGTTCATAAAATTTATTAAAAATCAGTTCAGATACCCAACAAAAGTTTGGTAGTCAGATTTGCTACTTTCGGTATTACTAAATAATAACTTAATACATTCCCTCGGCATTACTAGTAAACTAAAAATAATGACAACTACATATGCTTTGCATTACTAGCAAGCTTAAAAATAATGAGCTATTATTGAACACAAGAAAATATGAAGAGTTGGCCGACGCACATACTCGCACACATTGTTAAACAACAATATATGTTCGTAACAGTGCCTGAGAGAATGGTGTGCCCTACTGTCAATCCGAAGATCGCCAGCTCGACATCGGCCAGAAAAACAAATGACAAAACAAACAAGTAAACCAGTTAGGTTGACTATATGATACCCTACACCACTATGAGTATTTAGTAGAGCTCCCGTAGTTTATGTGAATTTGTGTGAAGTAGATCATACCAACTATGAGCTGCATTTGAATGCGTATCATGGCTTTAGAGAAGTCTCAATTTGGGAACGATATCCAACACTGAATCGATTTTCATTAAATCATTGTTGTGGAATGCATATCACGCAGTTGTGGAGTGCGAAATGCATTCCATTTGGGCTGGTATAAGCCATTTGGTGCACAAAAAACTTAAATCGGATAAAGATATATATGGGAGCTATATCCAAATCTGAACCGATCCTGATAAAATTTGAACCAGGAATTTCTAGGTTGTATCTGATATCTGGAAGCAAATATCATTTTTGTGGAGTAAACATATATATGGGAGCTATACTATATCTGAATCGATTTTCAACAGAATTTGAATTATTTGTTTTTAGGATGAATTTAGTTGAAGTTACCAAAATTCATTCTATTTTGGTTGTATTAGACATTTAATGCACTATAAAACTGATATCGAATAAATATATATGAGTGCTATATCAAAATTTGATCCGATCTCGACAGAATTTGGCGAGGTATTTTTGAGATGTATCTGATGTCCGGTGTCATTGCTGCGGAGTGCATGCGTAACGTGCACTCCACAGCAATGACGCAAGTGACGAATTTAAATCGGAATGAAACATGTATATGGGAGCTATGACTTTGTCTGAACCGTTTTTTTAATGTACTTGGCTTTAGACTGAATTCGGTCAGATGCGCCAAAATTCAGGTAATTTGGACTGATATTGGCATTTGGTGCACAATTAACCCGAAATCAATTGAAGATACATATGGGAGTCATATCCG